GCCGAGCGAGATGTATAAAGTTATTTTATATAATTTACGCGGAATCTAGAAGATTGCGAGCGTGCAGTTAACAAATGTCTGTATATGCACAGAGCTCTGAGCAGCAGCAATCGAGAGAGAAATATTTATGCGAAAATCGGGCAAAAAAGCAGCTGTTTTTATAAATTAAGATTCAACCGATAATGAGCGGTTATCACTTTTGACGAACGCAAACGTATATGAATGCACACACGTGTATGTGTGCGCGAATGTGAGTGTGTATGTGTACACAAGCAACTAAATTATCATTACTTAGCTACGCCGCGGACATATTATTTATATATAAATATGATCGGTATTAAAGGAAAAACGCGCATCGATTGACACGATAATTCAACGGCATTTTTATCATTTAATAATGACGGCTATACGACTCGATGAAGTCATTATTATATTGCGTGCTTTATATATGCGGGCAAATCGCCTCGACACAAAAGAACAGAAAATTTATCAGCTAGATCGCCTCGAATCGTCCTTTGTCAGATACTTTACAAGATATCGCTCGCGCACGAGGCACGAAAAAATCCAATATAATCTCGAGCCAGTCAATCTGAATATATTCTCCATTTTTTCACCCGTCAGTGTGGAAAAAAAGTTGACAATCGCCAGTCCGGTCGAGCGAAGCGTGGCGGACGAAATGAATTTCGGGGCACATATATGCAAAAAAGATTCGACGGTACTTCGCGTACGTGTTTGCATATGCTTGGGCACGTCCTGCGCGCAGTCCGAGAGTTTAATAAACGCGAGAGAAAGAGAGAGAGAGCTATATATAAGGCAGTTGTGTGTGCAGTGTATGAGCAACAAAGAAATGCGCCCGCGCGCGCGCATTACGTATATCGAGGTGCGACGGAGCTACTAGGAGAAAAAGATGTTTGCAAAGCGAGTCGTCGTCGTCGAAATGAAATCGAACGCGTCGATGCGTATTGTAAAGTGTGCCGCTACTCCACACCCGCTTCTATAAAGCACGATCATTTGAATAACAAAGTCGCCTGCGCCAAGCTATGCGCGTTTCACTGGGTTTTCAGAGGGGCCAAGGACTGCGGTCACGACGATGGTGAATACGTAATACACTTTTTTTCGGAGCATAAAGCAGCAGCGACAAGAAGCGAAGCGATCTTTCATGCACGCGGCTTTGAGCTATTGACCGACCTCGAGACTCGGAGAGAAAAGAGAGGACCTTTATCGAGAGCGACTCGATCTAGTAAAGTACTTTTGACCAAGCGAGCGAGTGAGCGAGGGCAAGGCGTGAAAAGTATGAAAAAAGTTTTGGGTGAAACGATTTTTCTCGCGACGACACCTTGAAACAAAATCTTTTTTCTTTCAAAGTTTAAGCAATTATTTATACCGTAAAGGCTGGAAGAGCCGTAGATATCTCGGTGGCAGTTCGGAAAATCCGAAATAGTCGTCAATGTCGAGCGATCGCCAATAAAAAGGAAGCCTCCAAAAGCTCGGTACGCAAAAAAAGTCGCTACCTTCGAAGCATCATCGATCGCGGCGTGAAATTCCAATGGTAATTTCTCAATCAAGCTCTCGTTCGCGCGCACAATACTTTGGTGTCGTCGATCCGCGAGGTACGCGCCGATCGGCAAAGAGAGTCGTCGTTCTCACGATGAGTCGCGCACGTCCTCGGCCTATACTTGTTACTTTTTTTTCTCTCTCCTTCTCTCTCCCTCCGCGATGTAATCATGCGTATTCATTTATACGTATGTCTATATACATTTCTTTTCTCTCTCTCTCTCTCTCTCTCTCGACTTGTCGATGCACATATAACGGAAGTTGAAGCGTGACGTAAATTACGCGCATCGGACGGCGTATTATACATTAATGTGGCTGCGCGCGTGGGCACAAGTGGAGGCGACGTGTACGGCTCGGACTGCTGCATAGCTTTGCAGCTCTCGTATACAGGCAAATGAATTTTTGTTAGGCTGATCGATCGCACCGAGCCCATATACGAAAAGAGCGCAGGTGTCCCCCTACGCGGCTTGAATAATTAAACGCGCCAATGTACCCGAGCAATGTACCTGTATTTTGCCACTCGGTTTCCGAGCTTTCGCGATCGTTTCGACGTGTGCCGGTCAACCCCGCAGTAGTTCAGAGATCACGAAGAATGTGATTTTTTCCGCGAAAATGTAACTCGGTTGCGCGCGAACTCATCAAAACCAAAACGCACCTACCACTTTGAGCGGTACTCCCGTCACTTTGAAATGTACGTATGCCCGGCTCCACGTATGGGCTTTTTATACGACGATCGTCATCATCATTGATGGCGCAGAACGCCGCGCGGCGCCCAAATCGGAAGTACGTCGCAAATTACAGAGTATGCGACCCACCAAGAGTCACAGCATTAATGATGTTTAATAACATGCGCCCTTCTCCCCCTTGACTCACATCTATCTCTACTCGTATGTATAATATTTCTTTCTCTGTCTCGACCGTTCGTTCGCTACCTTGTACCTTGGCTCGCGTATATAAGCAGAAGGTTATATATTATATATTTTCAACTCTTTCGCCACCTCTCGGGTCCGCGCCTGTGTGTCTTTGCTGCCTGTAGCGGAGCCGCAAAAATTTTTGTGTGCGCTCGCTCGTTCGCTCGCTCGAGCTCCAAAGTAAGCCATGAAGATTCGCGGAATCAGCATTAAAAATTAAATTACCAATTGAGAGAGAGAACGAGGGGAGGGGAGAGGAAGAAAGGATAAATAGCAATAAGGCAAACAACCAGGCTAAATGCTATAAAAATAAAACACGGGTTTGTTCTTTGGCGTTTTGTCTTCCCGAACCTGAGCGCGGATCTCCTCTCTCTCTCTCCCTCTCCTGTGCTTTTCTTTTACTCTCGTAGGCAGATTATCGCTATATATACACGCACGCATGTAAGTATGCAAGTGTGTATGTATATAATACATGTGAACGTGGTTACGACCGGTTTGGGTACTGAAAGAGACAAACGTTTCCAGGAGCTGCTGCCGCCGCCGCTGCCACTCTGGTTTTTTGTACATTATTTTCTCGACTAACGATGAATTCGCGGCGAACGAGTTGATGTTTCTTTTGACTCGGCTGTCCTCTGATTGATGCTTCGCATTGCCGGTCGTCGTCGTCTTCGTCCTCGTCGTCATCGTCGTCGTCGTTTTCGAGCTTTCTCGTTTGCATACACGTTATTATCATTCTACAAGCGAACGCGCGAAATTGTCCGCGATCTCGCTAAAGTCGATCGATTTCGAATTGGACGAATATTCATCGGTTTGGTCATGTAATGCGCAATAGTAAAATTAGCTTACACCTGACTCGAGTAAGATGTATTCGGCATTCGCATGATAATGTTATACGTATAATATAATGCGCGGTAGCCGCCATCCGTACATTTGGGCTCGTTCCTGCACACTCATCTACCATGTGAAATCAGGGAGAGAGAGAGAGAAAGAGGGAAACGAGAGGAAGAATGACTCTGTGAAAAAATTATTCTTTGATGTTCTGTTTTTTATTTTTTGCTCGCGCATACACTTTATTATATTACCACGATAATGCTCGGACCGTGGCTAATTCGTGACTCTACACGGTGTGCCGAATATTATACGTTTAATTATTCAGCGCAACAATCGGATAAAAGTCCGGTAAGTATACGCACACAGACAGACCCACACACACACGTTCCAACGAAAGTTTCTACCGCGAGAGAATATCTCTCCGAAATTGTGTGTGCTCTCAAGAGAGAGGTTAATGAAGAAGTTGGAGCTATAACAATAAATAGCAGTTATATTTTATATACACGAGCTCTGGAATTACACCTCGCGCATAAATACACACACAGAAAGCAATGCTGTGTGGTGCCTCTCGTACGTCTACATAATTTACAAAATGCAATTTTGGGTGTGCGCCGCGCGTTGAAGGTATAGATATATATACGAGCATCATCGCGAATACAAACGACTCGAGCTGCGAAACCGAAAGTAGCCAACACGTCCGCGCGTATAGGAACGTGAGTGCAGCGCAGCTCCAAACTCTTCACTCGCACACATTATAACTATACATTTATATACTTATACATACTGCAGATATATTTGTATTGTGTACACAGCGAAGCTGCAGCAACAATAACGGCTGCAGCTCGAAATGACCAGCGGAAAAAAATCGCGAGGGACGAAAAAAAAGAGAGAAAAAAAGAGAGAGAGAGAACGACATAGAGAAAGAGCAAGCAAATGAGGCAGGAAAAGGCCCTCGGGCTTCCTGCTTTGGCGAAGGCCTTATGCGTACAAATTGCAAATTGTCCGTCGATTATCGACAGCTATATATATACAGAGCCACGTACACCTATCTCATGCTCTTTTTTACGATTCGTCGATCATTCGCGCAGGGCTTTAGGAGAGCTGAGAGCGAGCTGCTACCTCCGAAAAACGCAAATTATATTAACGGTGCGTGAGTGCGCGCGCGCGCGCAAAAGAGAGAGAGAATAAAAGAGTGGAAGGGTCCAAAACCCCAGTGAAGAAAAACAAATGACAAAGTTCGAGCCGCGCAGCACACGCGCGCGCCTTTATATGCGTATAATAATTGACTTCATGACACACTTTACGCAGAAAAAAATTACCCCCAGAGAGAAAGAGAGCTGCTGCTGGGCTCCTTCGGTTTCGGCTCGGCCGTTCGGGGAAAAATGCTGAATTTTTTTCTTTTACTCTCGACATCTTCCGCGGAAGTGCCCCGTGTATATACATACGTATAACAATAATTTAATGTGTGCACAGATTGCACACTTTTGCTAAGTACACCCGTAACCGTAAATTTATTTCTTCATTGGTTTTTTCTCTACCTGTTTTTTGGTAGACTGTGTTTTTTTTCTCTCTTTTTTACTCGAAGTTCGAACAGAAAGTTTTTTGTTTTTGTGTGTATCAGAAGAGATATTGCGCGCGCGCCGAAGGAAGTGACTTTTGAAACATGTCAAAATTTTAATGTTAGAATTTCTGAATATATCTTACCATGCGTCGAGTCGGGCGATGACGGATTCTTTTCTGCACGTCCAAGCGCGTCGCTCGCTGTAACAAAAATATTCATTAATACTATTATTAAAATATTATTATTAAAATATTCTTTACGATATTTCATTCATATGTATTGTTTTTCCTAAATTAGTATGTTTCAAACGTGCTCCACGCGCGTCAATTTTTTTATTCGTGTTTCGAGGTTAGTTTAAGATTCAGAAATATTAAATTTCAAACGGGCTTCGCGCGCGTCAACTTTTTCATTCGTGTCTGTTGACAGTTAGCAGCGGAGGCGCTCGTATCGAGTCGGCTTGCGTCGGGCGTCGTCGTCAGTGTCAGCCAATCAGAGAGATCTTTTTACGCGGCCTCACTTTTCGGCCGTTCTCTTTTTTATAAGTAGATTATAAGTAGATTTACCTCAATTGAATATAAGTCCGAAGAAAATTTTATTATTACTTATACAATTATTTTGAACCTTTCACTGCAGATTTCTAATCTAATCTAAAAGACTTATTTTTACTTATACAATTGTTTCGACTTGGTCACTTGCAGGTTTACAGATAACGTTACTCGCCATCTAGCGGTAGAGGCTGGCTTTAATGATTTTTTCACTTCACTTTCATTGCACTTCCATGATTTTTTTGTGGAGCTAATGTAAACAAAAATAGTTGGGTACGGATCCATTCATTTTCAACGAAGATTTCATGTAAAAGTCAAATAAAATTCAGTATCATTATTGACTATACCTTCAAATCAAACGGTTGACTTATATTTTCATAATAAAAAAGTCTTTCGTTACTATATACGTGGAAATTAGTATATGTGAGAAAAAGAGACGATTCTCAAGACTAAGCTCTCCGAGATCTGCAGAAAATAACCAAGTCCATTCCATTTGTTCCTCGAAACATGTGGGGTTGAAGAAGCTGCCAGTATATTACATATTACGGATGGCCAGGGATATTCAAATAATCTATAGGAGAGCCGTGAACAGTATTGAAGCTCTCGAGAATGACCAACGTGTGTCAGTGGCACACACCGTAAACAGGACTTTGGACGCTGCCCCGCGGTGGTGTTGGCGTTGCTGCTGGCTGTGGCCAGGCAGGCAGATACGATACCCCTGGGGCTGTAAATCAACCCCCGCGCAACGAGGCGCTCTCTATCCGTATTCAGATAATCCTGTCATATAATACAAAAGTTTTCGATTTTATTTTCGGTGCGGTCGAAGAATACGGGCTACGAAATCGGGCAAAAAGTAGGAATTCTTTTTTTTTCTCCTCTTTTTTTTTCCATCAACGAATCAATTAAAGAAGAATGACGAAAGAGTACATGTATTTGTGCACATGAAACGAAGGCACTTGGATGCGATCGGCGGCAGTTGCGAAAGGATCCCATGATGATGCGATCGGATCCCCCGTGGTAGTAAGTGAGCGTGCCGTCGCTGCCGCCGCCGCACACAGCAAGTATGCGGGTGTTTTTTTCTCCGCGTCCGTATTTACGTTCGTGCAGTGTCCGCAGATGAGTTTTGGGGACGAAAGTGCCGGTTTTGTAGTCTCGCGCGCGCGCACGCCTATATAGAGCCTTTATCGGGTACATACGCGGTGACGACGACTAATTGAGACCCGCAGAGTTCTCGAAAAACTTTTCAAACGGCTAATTTCGGAGACGCTTCGCAAGCTGTAAGTACTGCACGGTTCGATGCTCTCGAGATTTTTGACGAAAGGAAGTGGATATCTTGCGAGAGAAGCGGCCCTTTACTTTTGCCAAATGAGACTGTTTCTTCGTTTCAGTTGATAAAACTGCAAATATGTGTAATAATGATGGCGTAAATATTACATTGAAGATTTCCGATGAAAGTTTGTTTAACGAAGACGATCGATGCCAATAACATATATCGTGTTTACATTGCAAAAATTCCTACTATGTACACAGTCGAAAAAACTCAAGTTCGATCGACACCCCGTATCAGACGTATATGGAATATTATAAGTGATGCAAGCATCGAAGGCGCTGACAGGTCGTATTTATTGCCAGCTCGATTCTGCCCGCACACAATATATGGCATTAGTCTAATACAGTATATATATTCCATATGGCTTATAAGGGAGACGAGACGTTTCGCGATTTCGTCGAGCCTGCGCAAGTTCATCGCGTGCAAACTTCATTTCATATTCATAAAGGTCAGTCAATCGGTGGATATTGCTGCATATCGTATACACGGAAGATATATCGGATACACGTGATATAAAGGTCGATTTTTCGCGTGAATCTCAACTTTGTGCCAGATATTGTATTAACTCGCATGCAGTGCATGGATGATTATTTTAGTGTTTGCTTAGCTCGGAGCCAGTCTCATGCAGCTCCTCGGCGCAATTACGCCACACGCGATATATTATCGGCGGCGGCGGCGGCCATTTCAATTATTCATATTACGAATCGGTTGAATCGAGCTCGCCGGCTCGGTGCAGCAATTCGTGCTGCTTATTATACAAAACTTTCACTCGTCGGTGGGTCGCGCGCGGGCACCCGACAAAAAAACGTGCATAATATATATATTTTATTTATTGCGCTCGGCGCAGTTGCACTTCTCCATGCAAATTGCGCGCATATATGTGCACATATGGATGTGTATGACGAAGGTCGTCGTGTGTGCGTGAAAGTTGCCGACATGTCCGAATAATATAGTATTCGCGCGAATAAAAACGCGCGGCAGGTATATGGTGATCAGTTTTGACCGTGATACGAGAAAAAAGGCAAATATAATGAAGTATTGATGCATAAGAGACGGGAAAAATATGGAAAAGTCGATGAATCCTTCGCAGGATCGGCACAGATCGTGTATTTTTATATGCATGGTCTGGAGGCGCTGCGCACCGCTTTAGGTGTACGTAGCGAGCGCGAGTCTTCATAAAGTATTCATAGCAGCGGTGTTTGCGGTCTACCGCAATGTTGGCCCAGCAGTAGCAGCAGCAGCTTTTCTCGCATAATATAGCCATGTTTTACCATGCTTACTTTTGCGCTTTATTATACGCATACTCACGCGCGCAGCTGACTTTCGTCGTTGTCGTATATGAACTCGAAAAGCGAGTAACTCGTTATATCGGCTATACTACGCTTGCAGTTGAAGCAGGCACATTTGTAATCGTTTTTCATTGCGATATTTATATATACGGTCGGACACACGACTTGCGCTCTGCATCGTATTTGGCGCGACGTTTAAATGCGCGCAGCAGCCTCAGTGAAAGCCATTAATTTGGCGTGTGTGTGTGTGTGTGTGTGTGTGTGTACGCGCGCGCGAACCAACGTATGAAACTTGAATAGAAAACAAATTCGCATGTATAAGCTGACCGCTGCCGCCGCTGCCTTACGTACGTACGTGTCCTATAAGCATATTCCGACGAGCTTTTCCTCCGGCAGGCCCTATATGTATGCGCTTTACCATGAATACGAGATGATACGAAGCTTCGAATCTAGTTTGCCTTCTCGCAAGGCCGCGTTGCGTTGCGTTGCGGGCTCCGGTGTTATATAGCCCGCGGGTCATCAATTTTTTAACAGAGAGCGAGAGAGGAGAGGAGCGAATCGACGATATGGAAAACACGTCCCGTCACGCTGGACCGAGAATGCCTTTTCCATGCGCGCATATGTATAGAGCGCGTGTGTGTGAACGCCTGCAGAAAAACTCGCTTTACGCGTTCTGAATCGACTAGCCTCTGACCACCACCCCTTCACACTTCGTATTATATATACGTATGGAGGCTTCGAGCTTCGTTTATATGCATGCAATATTGCACGCGCTCGAGCGCGGAGAGAGAGGTAAAGGTTGAAAGCTCGAAAGGCACAATTTCTTTTCACTATAATATATAGATTCGAGTCGGTGCGCTCGACGTTGTATAATATTCGTCTCGTTCTCGAGGATATTCCGGAGAAGTAATTATTGCTCCGCGCTCGAGATATATATATTTTTGTCACTGCAGGCGGCTCTACGTCGTCCCCAGACTGCCTCGCTCGAAACTGTCAGACGACGACGACGACGAAGACGACGAGAAAAGTTGGCGAAGAGCGCACATATATATATAATAAATACGAAGATAAAGTTCGTGTCAAAAAAATATAATAATGCCGCGCGTATATAGCGAGCAGGACGCTTGCCTTGGCTATACGGATAGATGAATTGGAACTTTTATCTCATTTTGCTTCGTTTGCTCTCTTTAACGTCACGAAGCGCTCCAGCAGCAGCAGCAGCAGCCGAGACAGTATTTAGCGGCGGGGTGCACATACACTACACGGACGTTTCACACATAAATGCACACACATACACAGCCACCCACACCGACTTATAAATACCAGCGGCAAGAATACAAAAGTTCCAGTACATATAGCTGGGGCGCAGTCGATGCTGCCTGCGCGCTAGCTCTAATTAATGTACCAATTAAAAAACTTAAATTAATGAGTCTGGCGATGAAGGCGGGAAAAAAATTACGAAATTTCCGCGCGTATAACGCGAGATGGTGGTGGTGGTGGTGGTGGCTGCAAGGGGTGGACGCAGGCAGCGTCTGCGTGTGTGTGTGCGTGTGTACGAAGCGGGGGTGGGTACACGGTAGTAGGAGCCGGGAGCTCGAGCTCACGCAGGGTGCAGTAGCCGCGAGAGAAAGAGGGAGTACGCGGTGGTATATACATATAGAGAGAGAGAGAGCGAGCCGCGCTGATGTATAAAAGGTCGCTCTGCGTGTGCGGAGAGCAGCAGTGAGCGCGCCAGGCAAGGAATACAAGAACGAGAGACAGACGCGCGCGTACTTTTTCCAATTACAAACGGCGCCATTAGCGCGATTATTTTTTGAAACAAGAATATTCTCGCACTGTGTGCTGCGTTGAGGCTGGTTTGCTGGCTGGATGGCTGCTGACTGCGTGTGCATTGGCTGCTGCCTCGAGCGCCCCGGCTTATAATGAGGGGGTGGCCGGCTGACTGTGTGTGCTCTTGCCGTGCGCCGTCTGCAATAATGGCCGACGTTATGAAGAAATAAAAGGCCCTCTCCTCTCTTTCCCTCTTTCTTTCTGCT